GCATGGATGTTACCGGCAGTATCAGCTCCGATTCCGGCTGGACGATAGCTCATCATGCCCAAGGTGTATGTACATACATACATACATACATACATATGTACATACATACTGATGTATGTGCATACATATGTACATACATACTGATGTAAGAATGTAAGAATTTTTCTCCCACTCCCTGACATAAACATGGATTTTGCTTTAAAAGTACTTGTTGAGAAAATTTGCAAGAAAAAACAGAGTCACAATTATTAAGTAATTCATCAGGAAAGCATGAAATTGTTTGTTATAACTTACTTCCTTAGTTACTTCCTTAGTTACTTACTTCCTTAGTTACTTACCTACTTAGTTACTTCCTTCCTTAGTTACTTCCTTCCTTAGTTTCTTCCTTCCTTAGTTACTTACTTCCTTAGTTACTTACCTACTTAGTTACTTACCTACTTAGTCACGTAATGATTAGAAATTAGATGACTGGACTCTCCTTCTAGGTTGTATGTCTCAATATGAGTTGTAGTTTAGTAGCTCTTCTCTGAACTTTTACCAATAGCTCAATGTCCATGGAAAAGTGGGATGACCATATGGGTGGACATACTTCAAACATAGTCTGAGATAAGTGATATTCTTGAAGGCCTTATTTAAGTATTTAGGGAAGACTTTTGAAAATTTTTGCATCATACAGAGAGTATTATTGTCTTTCCTCATTATTTGTTTGATGTGTGAATTCCATGTCAAATCAGAGGAAATAGTCACTCTAAGGTCTTGCTGAGTACTTCAAAGTACTAGGATCTTGGTCTATCCAAAATCTTGCTGACTTTAAATTATTGAGGTAATTTTTGAAGTACATTTTTTGAGGATTTTTCATTCCCATTTGAAGAATTGCTCATCTATTGCTCTCAGCAATCAGTCTCTATCATTAAGAAGATCCAAATCGTATTGAAGATTAGTAATGTTGTGGTTTCCCGTTAGCTCGATATCATCAGAAAAAAATATCTCATTGAACAAGAGCATGTTACAGAGGTCAGTCAAATATAGAATAAAGAGAATTGGACCTAACAAGGTACCATAGGGTACTCCACTCTGGACAGGGTGGTTGTGAGGCTGTGTTTTCAATTCTGACTGTGAAATGTCAATTAGTCAGAAATGTTCCAATCCATGCAAGGAGACTTTCTCTTATTCCTAGATGTTTCAGTTTTATAGTAGTCTGTGGAGAGGGACATGACCAAATGTTCTTTTGAAGTGAAAATAAATTATGTCTGTAGGTATCCTCAAAGTTGTTCTTCCATGTCTTCAGGCATTCCAATAGTTAATTGTAATTAACGTTTAGGGGACAAAATTTGGGGGGCTGGTTACCAGAAAATATTTTATTTGAGAGGCAGAACTCAATTGGTTTCTCTTACTATCATCTTTTCCGTTCATTTTTGTTTTACAGTTGTAAGTAAAATTTGCCTCCGATTTGGAGTTACCAAACGATTGCACTATTTGTGAATCAGTCTTATTATGGCTTTCAGCCCTTCTTCTGATAATTTGCCTTCAGTAAAAGATTTCTCCATGAGGGCCAGTGGATGAGTTTTCTGTAAGTTCTAACAGGACTTCTTGCACTTTTTAATAGAAAAGGAAAAATTAAGGAAATATATGGGAGACTGGTTCTGAAACAATAACACTTCCAAACTGTTCTGCAATGATGTTAACTATTCTCACATGGTCTTTGGTTTGGTCACTGATATTATCTAGTAATATGTTAGGAACTGAGCTCTTAGTGAATATTTTGGTCATTTAAAAAGCCATAAATCCGAGATGTAGAAGACCATTTTCATATTTCTCTCTAGCTTTATTAATAGCTTTGATAACTTCATTATTTAATATAACATAGGTTGCATATAATAAGGATCATTAAATTTTTACCTTCTCACCTACTTCTTGTGAACTTTAGAGAAATTATTGTAATGCTGCAGGGGGAAAAAAGGTGATTTTTCAACATAAAAACTCTTATTCTCAAACAGTAATAACGAAACCATGGATAAATAGTTCCTCTATTTATGCAAAAGATGCATGACTTCTTCTTACATACTGTAAAATTGGTTTACACCAATCAGTCATTGAGCAATGGTAGCAGCTTAACTGTAAGCAGACTTCTACCAAAATTAACATTTTTCAATTAATCTGACTGATGTTACTGCCCCTTGTATGTGAAAAGGAAATTTTGATTTTTGGTTGTACTTCACATAAAGACTCAACATTTTCAAAATTTTCTTAATAATGGCTCCAAATTTTTTCTTTAATTTCTCCCCTCTGTGCAAAAGATGCATAAAGAAATGGCTTAGATTGAATTTTTGTTGCACTCCCTAAATTTTTGAAAATTGCAGAAGTTCAAAAAATTTTTCCATATGAAGATAGGATTGTTTTTCCTTAATGAAATCTGTTCATCAAAAATGTCTTCGAATAAGGTCATGTTCAAATTAACAAAAATGTGAGTAGTTATTGCCTGAAAAAGGAAATTTTAAAATAATTATTATCTCAAAAACAGTTCAATTTTTTCTTTTTATGTAGCAAAGCACTGTAAAGTAAGATGTTTTGAACTCATCTTTGGCGAACTCTATTTTGAAATTAACTTTCCAAAAGGAAAGTATTAATGATCAAGATTTTTTATCAACTGAAATCTGTTCTTTTGTTTTTTTAAAAAAGGTCATAGACAAATTTTTTTAAACAAGGAATTGAGCAAATTTTCCATGTGTTTTTTGCTGAAATCTTTGAGTTGTTTAATCGTAAGTTTAATCGTTGTTTAGAAGGAGTTATTAAATTAGTTCATTAGTTACAGAGTGAGTTATTTATCAGAAGTTATTTAAAATTGCCTTTCATGCAACATTGCCATACTGCCCTACAGTGGGAGCATTGCACATGTCAGTTCGAAATTCATGGAATAACTTCTCATTTTGGTTGGTGACATAGACGGGATAGGGATAGCGTAAGAAGGCTTTATTTACCTAAAGTTTGTTATAGTGTTTCTATGATCACTAAAATGGTACATTCAACTATATATATATATATATATATA